TAACTGTTGCAGATATTGTTTTAAGAAGGGATATTTAATCTAATTCTGGCCCAAGAGATGTAAGGGGACTCTGCTGAGGAGTTCTGAGATTGGTTTTCCTCACTGATAAAAAGAAATTTATAAGATCTTAAAAAAAAATCTTCTCTAGTTAGTGTAAAAGCCAACAGCTGAAAACGGAATAAAAGTATTACTTGAAGTGACCTTGTTCTCACCAGAGTTGAGTTTTGCTTTTGATTTGATGACTATTTAAAGAAATAGTTGATGTCTCTGTTTCACAAATGGGTAGTTATTTCTTTGTCTTTATCTTGAAGTGCCCATACATCATATGTGTTTCATTTTAAACTTGTAGAGGAAAAATGAAATGATGGCTCTGTATGGTTGGCATTATTCTTCTCTCCCTCCTCCTTCCCCCCAGCTTTCCTTTTAGAAGAGTCTGGTACTGTTTATGGGTTTTCCCAAAGGCATAGGCTGGATAGTTTCATTTTTAGTTTTTACACAACTTTATGACCCATGAATAGTTATCTTCTAAGAATTAATAATTAGGGCACACTGATTCAAGTGATCAGTATGTGCCCTTATTTCATTTTTGTGTATAATAGCTCCTCTGTGTTTCTTTCTTCATGATCAACTCAAGGAAGCTAATTGAGACTGAGCATGGTAATATCAAAGAAAAATTTTTCAAGAACATTAACAATCACAGGTATTGTACAAACAAAGAATAAGTACACATGAAAGATTTATTTAACTTGTCAGTTAGGGAAACAGGGTGGTAACCTGATTCAAAGGACATTTGAGGAACTGAGCATTAACATGCAATGAACAAAAAATGTTCAATTTCTAGACTAGATACAAACGTGGAGAACATCACAAAGGACAATAAAACCATATGCTTTGGTTATAATTTCAACCAGACAGAAATTATTTGCATCTCTACCAGACAAAATCTACAAGGTAACATGTAAGTTTAATGAGTTTGGATTCTGATCAGTAACAAAGAGTATGTCCAAAAGAGGTTCATTGCTCTAGAGACTTCAAAAATTCTTGAGTGAGCCCAATGCTCTAGTGTGACACTGAAAGCACATGTAATGAAGCTTCTACCTTACTTTAAAGTTTTTCATATTTTTGCTTAACAGCAGTGATGCTATAATGCAGTTGAGACAAAATAAAATAATACATGTGAAAATGCTTTATAACATAAAGCTTCATAAAAACATAAAATGAAATTTTTGTAGGTTATTACTATAATTACACGATATTCCAAAGGCAAGCTTGACATAAAGAAGGCAAGTTAGAGTTAGATTGTCAGTATTTTTTTTCTGATGCTAAAACAGAGACATTGGTACCCCCGAAGTCAGGATGAGAATGAATTTATGTCAACAGGGACGTGATATGCACAAAAGATTAGTGGAACCACAAATCCTGTTACTACCGCAGGGAGAAGTGTTGCAAACTAAAATTGTGTTTGTTTTCTTGCCCCAACCTGGAGATGATGCCAAGAAAAAACCATGAATGTCGTACTTCATTAATTCAAGAAGTAATGCATTGAGCAGCAAAGAGGTGCCCTTTGTGTCCTATTGTGGGGAGACAAAGGGAACTAAGATATTCACTCTCTCCATAAGGATACCTATTTAGCAGAAGAGACAATACAAAAATAATCAATTGGAACAAAGAGAGGGGAATAATTATTTTGTTTTGAATATGGGCAACCTGAAGCTTTGATGAATTAACTACTGTTTGTTTAACCAGTTGTCAGTTGGTAGCAGTATTTCTTGGTTTTTACCGGAGACTATTCACTCTGAACTGTATACGGAACTCCTTATTGCTCGTCTTTTTATCTTCTTTCGGCTTTTTTCTCTTTGTTCTCATATTTTCAAATGTAAAGTAATTGAAGAAAAAAATTGTAATTGAAAAAGATTCTCTGTAAAATTTTTGATTTTTAAAAATAAGGTGAGAGTCAACAAGTCTAACAAAAAATGTGAGCTTATTTAATGTCCAGGATTAAAAAGAATATAAACCTATGTTTGAAGAACCAAACTGAAATAACTTTGTGTCTCTAGACTTTTCCAATGCTTCTACAAAATTTCATGAGTATAGTAGTAAAAACTATGAAAAAATAGCATCTTTTTTTTTTTACTATAAACCAGTAAGTTCTATTAATATAGTTAAACTAAATCAGAGACATAACCCGCAAAAGAAAAGCTGGGCTATTTTAATGAAAACAATGGGAAGAAAGAAGAAGACTACTTCTTTTTTTTCTTTAAAGATTGGCCCTGAGCTAACATCTATTACTGATCTTCCTCTTTTTTTTTTCTTCTCCCCAAAGCCCCCCAGTACATAGTTGTATATTCTAGTTGTAGGTCCTTTAAGTTCTGCTATGTGGGACACCACCTCAGCATGGCTTGATGAGCAGTGCTAGGTCCCTTGCCCAGGATCCGAACCTGTGAAACCCCGGGCTGCCGAAGCAGAGAGCACAGACTTAACAACTTGGCCATGGTGCCAGCCCCTGAAGACTACTTCTGAATTGCACTGTTATTAAAATTAAATAGTTACCATAAATATGTGTCTCCTTTGCGTTTGTGAAAGTCTCCTAAATACGTTCTTCCAATTTTTTATAGAAAATTATTAGACTAATAATTACTTGATATTTCATCATAATTCATTCCAGTTTTTAAAGTGCAATATTTGGAAAGGCCAAGAGTTGCCCAGGGGATGGAATGCATCCGCAGTGTCACTCAACTCCATAAACTCTGATGAACGGGAGACTCAAATACTGTATCTAGTTTGCTACTGTTTGTTCCAGACGGATGTTTGTGTATTACCACTGTTTATTCAGAAAAATCTTTATAGAAAACATGTGGTTTTATCTTTAGAATAAGTTTAAATCTAATAGAATTCCAAATAGTTCTGGTAAAAGACTTAGATGCTATCTGGGCTGGAATGGTAAAACTGAGAATTCTCATTCATGAATACTATGTTAGTTCCATATGCTAACCTGAGATGGTTGCCAAGAAAAATTATCTAGTGAAAAAATAAATTGTGGGGTCATATACATAGTCTGATTCCATTTATATTCAAATTACAACACGAAAGTTCAAATTTATATACCAGTGTGGAATGGAAACCAATGTATTCTTCTCTCATTACCTATCTGAGTGGAAGTCTCTTTTTCTGTCTTTCCAGTCCTTAAATTCACAGCACTGAAAATACACACACACACACACACATATTTTCCATGGTGTATGTGTAAATGGATAAAAGGATAAAGGAATAGATAGATGAAAGGAAATTTTGACTTTATATACACGTGTGTTGTTTGATTTTTTTATAATGAACATATAATCATGTACATTTTTAAAATAAAGTAGAAAGTCAAGAAAAATCATTTTTAAAAAAAAGAAATGAGGTATAAGTTCTGACATGAGAATATATATATTATATATTCAAAATATATATTTTATATGAAAAAAGCAAGTTACAGAATAACATAGTGTTATCCTACTTATGTTAAAGAAAAAGAAAAGCAAACTGTGTTGAGAGAGATGTTGAAAAGATACTTTTAATTTTCCTCTACATACTTCTGTGTCAAAGTATATACAGAAAGTATGTCTTTATATACTATAGGTGTTATTTATGAAAAATGATTTTTTTGCAAAGAATTGCCCTACTGTTTTCTTTCTGCTAAAGAATGAGTCATAAACAAAGGTTTGAGGAACTGTTTAATATATATTCAATGACCAAATAGGAAAAATCTGTTTCCTAAAATCTCAATTTTAATCAATAGAGTCATATGAACTTTTTCAAAATAATTTTTGATACTGTTTTTCTCAATCTCCCTAAGAAATTAAATTATTTCTATATTATGTTTTTTATGCTTGATATCTCTAATGAGATCTTATCAACTGCTTGATATTGGCAATGTTCTTTTTTTATTTGAGAAGGATATTTTGCAAATTTTAATCTGGTCCATTGATTTTGCTTTCTCATGGATAGGTTGAGTCTTTCTTCTGTAGAGGCTTCCACATGTACTCCTCAGATGTCTGTTTATTTTTTTCTGTGTGTTCATATTCATGGAACCACCATCTTCCTTGCTGGTGATGTGTGCCTGAAGGGAGAGATGACAGCTCAAATCCTAGCTGACATTCCTCTTGGTGGAAATGAAGTGTATGTTGGGGGAGTGGCCACGGAGGGAGAAGAGCCTCTGGTATTGCATTTTGTAACCTGCCCCACTTCACTGCTCTTTTCCAGGGACAGCCTCTCCTCCTTGTAGTTACCCAGTAGGGGCGCAGGGATGGGAAGCCACCTTAGTCCATCTGAACTAGGTGGTTATTCTATACTTCCTATGTACCCCTGGGCCAGTGATGCCCAGATGAACTGTCACCTGTGGCAGGCGCTGGACTGGAGCTGATGGTTTCTGTCCACTCCTTGAACCCTGTATGGTGGCATGGGCACTGAACTGGCCAGTAAAATGTGCGGAGAGAAAAGTACAGAACTAGAAAGCTTTCCTCCAGGTTCTGTGGGACCTGACCTACCTTCTGATTCTCCAAGGACTTTTCACAGTCTTTGATTTAGATTCTGGGATTCTTTAAATTCCTTTTTAGCTTTGTGGCATCTCCAGATTTTGGTTCAGGGGAGGACTGAACAGTCCATGCTTGTCCATGATCCTGACCACTATACAAACTTCAGCTTGGAATGGACCCACCGCAAATCTCCTCGGTAATGGCTGGCTTTATTCTTCTTGTACCAGGTCCTAGCTCTAGCGTTTCCTCAGGGAAGCTTTACTCACCTCCTTGTGCTTTTCTGTATGATGCTGACAATTGGTATAGTACAAGGATTTCTTTAATAACTGGCCATCTCTCTAGATGTTAAGGTCCATGAGAGCAAGGGAAATGTCTGTTTTCTTGTTTACTGCTTTATTTATGACTTTTATCACGATTCCTACACAATAGCTGAGACTCCATGAATATTTTTCAAAAGCAAAGTAAAAGGAAGAAGGAACAAACGAAAGAGAAATAGATCTATTTTTATTAAAGTGGAACATAATGTATGTCTATGCAAGAGCAATCTACTTCTGAATTAGTCACATCTGTAATATATATAGAGTGTGGAACCACAGACTGGTTTTATCTTGGATGCTGAATAACATTTGACCTTCTCATTTTATTAATATCTTGATGTAGACTGAACACAGATGAATTTTCTGGAAAAGAGATATAATATATTACAGCATCAAATAAAAATTAATTCTGAGTTATCCATGAAGTATCAATTGTGTATAAAACTATTATGAATAAGAGACTGTAGAATTCCCAGGATACAAAGAATTTCTTACTCAAAAGTCTGAAAATCTAGCTGAAACATTTAGCAAAAAATAAACTTTCTTTACTGAAAAAACGACCACAGAAAACCAGTGAAGATTAAACAAGGGTAGGGCAATAGTGAAAAAAAAAAAGAAAATGATAGGCGCACTTTCAAGATCTTCTGTCTATGTAAACACTTTAACAAATATACAAGTTTTCCTCCTCTCTGTTCTAACACAAAAGTGAATCACTCAGACCATTGTCTACGTGTTTCCTGAACCAGATAGTTCAATTTTAGGCGCATTTCTCAGGTTCTCAGATGCTATTAGTTCATAAAACCTTTTAAATACCAGACTATGTCAGGACGTAAAATGATGTTACAACCTCAGATTATTTTTTGTCTGGGCACCAGGATGTGGTAGAGGCACTTGATGCTTGAATGTTATCCTCCTATTCTATTCAATTCTCCCTTTTCTGGTACAACAATTTCATCTCAGGGACATACATATGGACACATAAATGGATGAGGCTTCTCCCTCCCATCTCTCCCTCCCTTATCTGTCAAGTTCTCCAGGGTTGTCACCTTCATTTGTGATCTGCGATTAGAGGGTGAAGTCACTTGCTTTACAATGAAGCAAAAAGCAGCTTTTTATCTACAAAATCTCTGCTTTTCCCAGCCGTTAGTTCTTTCACAATACACTTTCTATTCGGTGCAAATTTGTTTTGTTCTTTTTGCTTATAATTGGGCCAACTTTCACTCCTCCATGTAAAATACACACTGTGGAAGTTATCAACTACCAATTAAGGGAGTTCCAAGTGCTAGGAAGGAAAACAAAACAAAGCTCTCAGCAGGCAGGGCTTATACTGATAACTGAAAAGCACCAAATTAAGACTAATTCACATCACTTCAGAGCATGACTCAAAGCCACAGATCGTGAGTCATGGGCTCTCATTGAGACGGTGGGCAACACACACGGAAGAGCTCTGTGTACGCAGAATCAGGCCTGAAAAAGGCATATATGCGTCATGGACACATCTGCATGTTGCAAAGGCGCATATTATGACTAGAGCTATCGTGTCAGGAGAGGATGATAGCATCCGTGAAGAAATCAGTGTTTCAAGTGACCCAGAACAGAGTGCATTGTAAAACAGAGGCTCTGTTTATATTGAGCTTGTTACTATGACTATGAATTTCCAGTTTGAGGAGGAGTTTTTGGTAGTACTTTATGGAACAAATAAGCCATAGCCACTTGAAGATATGCCATGTGAAGAGAAGCAAAAGCAAGACACTTCATGCCAAGTCATATGTGCTCAAGGGCTCATTCTCGCAATGTTATTTGCTATCTGATTGGCCCAAGTCGGTGGTTACCAGACTCATTCCTTGTCCTCACTTTGTGTGTCCTGATAGTCTTTTTTCGTGAAACATGATTTTTTTGATTCCTCTCTTTGTCATGCTATGGACCATATGCTTTTATCCACTCTTGGATCCACTTTCTGCCAACACTGCTGGAGATGTTGCTAGAAATCTAACTTACTCTGGAGTCCTATTTTCAGCCTGGTTTGTTGCTTACCTGTCACTTCCCCCACCCCCAACCATATACAGACACACAAAGTTTCTTCACTCTATTTTCTATTCTTTGTTCTATTTTCCGACTCTATGAGGTATCTTAACCTCTTAGCCAGGTTCAGTGGTGGATTTATTTTAGATCTTAGCAGACAGAGTCTACTGGGTAGAGGAAATGGACTGAAGGACTTTTATTTCTAGATAAGTGACAAATAAAGCATGAATTTAGAGATCTGGAAACACTGAATATGCTAATTGGACATAGAAGAAAACAAGATAATTTGTTCTTAAAGAGGAAGGAATTGGATGAGTGAGAATAAATGGTTACACAAGTGAGGTGATAAAAAGGTGACACAGAGAATGGCACTAGAAAGTGAGAAGGGAATTTATGCCGTGGAAGGTTGTAGGAATACTGGTTTGAAATCTTGGTGGGAAAACACAGAAGACAAGAGCTAAATGGCCGCTTCTAGTCTGTTTCTTCCTTCACTGAATTATTATGTCTGTGACCAGGGCAGATCTCAGACAGTATAGGATGGTGGTGAAGAGAGCAGATTCTGGATTCAAGCAAACCTGATTTCAGGTCCCAGCTCTACTTGTTAATATTATGAACTTAGGCAAGTAAAAACCCTCTTTGGGTCTTTGTAAAACAGTCTTAATAATTGTATCTACTTCTTTGAAATAATTGCCTATGCTCACTGTCTCTCTCTACCTCCTAAAGTCCCTCCAATCAAGATGTTACCCCCATCAAGGCATCTATTCTCTCTGTGGTCACCAATAACATTCATGCTGCTAAATCCGTGTATGGTCAAAACTTAGGACTCATCTTACTTAACATGTCAGCTGCATTTGGGAGGGTCAAGATCTCCTTCTTTCCAGACATGATTTTTTCTTCTGTTTTCAAGGACACCACACTCCGGGTTTTCCTCTCACCCCACTGGGTGCTGCTCCTTGGTTTCCTCTTACTGGTTTCTCCTCTTCTCCTCAAACTCTCGATGTTGAAGAGCCATAGAGTTTAGTTTTTTTTCTTCTTGTCCATATACATTCCCTCTCCTGGAAATTTCGACCTGTCTTGTGAATTTAAATTCTACGTATACACCATAAACTCCCAAATTTGTATCTTTAGCCCAGACCTCTCTTCTGAACTTCAGACTTGACTACCAAATTGTCTACTGAAAACCTCCTTTTTGGATGACTGATGGAGATATCAAACTTAACATGTCCAAAATGGAACTTCTGGTCCACTCCCTGCAAGGTCCTCTACCTGCAGTCTTCCCCCCATCATTTGATGATGATTCCAGGCCCAAATTTTTGCAGTCAACCTTTTTCCTGCTCTTTTTCTCATACCCCACATCTAATCCACCAGCCAATTCTACCTCCAAAATATGCCTGATCATTTCTTACCACTTCCTGTGGTCTACCTCAGTCTCAAACCATCATCTTTACCTAGATGATCGCAATAGTTGTCTAACCAGTTTCCCTGCATCTCCTCTTGGCTCACTATAGTTTATTCTTAATACAGAGTCAGAGTAATCCGTAAATCAGATCATGTCAGTCTTCCATTTAAAGCCTTCCAATAGTTTCATATCTCACTCAGAGTAAAAGCCAATTCCTACAAGGCCACCTCCTCCACTCCTCACCCCAGTATCTCTCTGACCCCTCTCTGTTCTCTATGCCCCACTCTGCTCTCTCATTCCAACCACACTAGCTTCCCTCTGCTACTTGAACATGCCAAGCATGTCCTCGTCTTAGTGCCTTTGCACTGGCGGTTCCTTCCATGAAGAACACTGTTTTCTCTAGATGTTCTTTGGTCAACTTCCCTTACCCTGAAACTTTTGAGGTTTCTTATATTATAAATTCAGTGAGGCTTCCCTTGACCATCTCATTTAAAATTGTCACCTCTCCCACCTCTAGCACCCTTGATCCTCCCCTTAAGCTGCTCTATTTTTCCGTAGCACTCATCACTCTCTGAAAAAATATGTAATTTGTTTACTTCTTATGATCAATGTTTATTATTTGACTTTTCCTAGTAGAATGTGAAATCCAGTGGGACAGGGATTTGTTGTTGTTTGGTTCACTGCTGTACCCCAAGCACCTAGAAAAGTGGCAAGCACACAGTAGGCATTTAATAAATATTTGTTAATTTGTATAAATAGATGCCATCTGGTTTTTGAAGGTTAAACAACATACTCTGGACCTTACATTAATACAGCGCTTGGTCCACTGGGCTAAAAAAGATGATAGCTATGAACAAATACATAGGGTAAGGAAACTTTCATGTCCTCAGCCTTCCTTTCCTCAATCCCTTACACACAATATGCTGTTTCATTTTCCTTTCTTAAGACCAACATAACTGGAGACTCCATGGAAATGACGCAATAAATTTAAACTTCAAAGCATTTGTATAAAGTAGATGAATATGAATTTTTTGATTATTTGATAATGTACATTATTTTCGAAAAGCTTTCCATTTTGAGAGATAAAAGTAATCTTTAGTCAAAAGAATGTATCTCAAACTGGATTTTCGGGCTTCAATGAGCCTAATGAAAAAGGTATCCTAGGGATAGAGAAATTTCTATGATACATCTAAAATTATATGATGTGTGGGGGCATTTTTTTTGATCAATGGCCAAATGACTTTATATATATATATATATAAATCTTTAAAGAAAATTAGTCTAAAGAAAGTCCATGATTATGAAAACTTCGTTTGTTGAAAAAAAGTCTGATAAAATTCAACCCACGTTGAAAAGGAGGTCCATGGTTTGACATCTTTCTTTTTAAAATAAAACAAATTCAGTTCCATTTTGTCAAAAGTAGAAAGATAAATTAGGACATAACTGATCCATAGTGTAGAGAACTTCTCTGTGAATAACTATCTTCACTGTCTATTGTTCTAATGCATTTCGCTGAATTTTAAGCTCTATAAATAAGTATTCTAGATGTAGATAAGAAGATAGATAAGAAAAGTAAGCATTGTATGTACCCATTGAGATCACTATATTATTGCTTCATTATTGAACATTACTTGAGTGACATTATATTACAAGCAGTGTAGTTAGAGAAGCTATAGAGAAAATTAAGATAAAGTATAAAAGATACCACAAATTAAGTGTGTACAGAACCCGTGGAAGCAGAGATGAGGGAAGACTGCTTCTGATGAAGGGGTCAGAGAAAGTATTATCTGAGCTGAGCTACAGAAGTATGAGTAGACTTTCATCAGGGACAAAGAAAGGAAGACATGACAGGCCGAGGAATGCAATAAATTAAACCCATGGGAAAAATAGGGAAGAAGATAATGTAAAAAAAATGGGAGAAGAAGGGTGGATTTCTGATTAACAGAAAATGGTAGAACTGATAAATAAATTGATTTGCTAGTTCTTTGGAAAAAATAAGAGATACACTTGTATCTAATTCAATCAAGAAGAGGGAAAAACACATATACTCCGAACAAAAAAATATGTAAGAAATAATCACAAATGAAAAGGAAGTGAAAGGAATTTTATGAGATTACTTTCTTCCATTCCCCATTTCGCACACAAAATATGCGAAAATCTAGATTAAAGGAATAATTTTTTGGGAAAATATAATCCACCGAATCTGATTCTAGAAGAGTTAGCAAACAAGAATATGAAAAAATATTTTATAAAATGCCAACTCCTTTTTTGATAAAAATTCTTAAAATAGAGATAGATGCATGCTTTTCTGACAAAATGTATCTGCTTCAACACCAATGGCAGGATTAGGCTTAAGGTTGAAACACTAGACAAGTTGCATTAAACTTGGAAATGTCTGCAATTGCTATTATTTAATATTGAACTGGATGTCCTAGTCAAACTATTAGACAAAGGAAGAAGTTAGAGTTATAAATATTGGCAAGGAAGAGATAAATTTATCAATATTTGTACATAATTTGATAGTCTATTTGGACAGAACAAGAGAATTACTAAAAAAAAACAACTCCAAACTTTAAAAACAATAAGGAAATTTAGTAAGTTTTCTGGAACAAAATTAATAGTTGTCATTCAGGCAACCACCAGTTAGAAAACACATTTGTGAAAGACTCTATTTCAATGCCATCAAAAAAATTAAATACCTAGGAATAAACTTTCTATGATAGGTACAAGATCAATATGAAGAAAATTTTAAATCAATTTTGGGGGGCCCAAAAAAGACATTAACAAATAGAAAACATATTGCGTATTTAGATAATAAAACTCAGCATTGAATATGCTGCTTTTCACCAAGGTATAATCCATAAATTTAATATTATTCAAATAAAAATAGTATTTTAAATTAAACAAGATGACCCTCAAGTTCACTGAAAAATATGGAAGAAAAGCCAGAAAATAATAGGGGGAAAAGTAGAATTAATGGTGCTGGTGGGGTAATAATTTTACAAGATATTGGTATATTATAAAACTACAAGAGCTAAAACAATGTGATAGTCAGTTGACTAGACATATCATGGACAGAATAGCAAGTCTAGAAAAAAAATCCATCTCATATATGAGATATATATATATATAACATACAGAATATAGCATGTGATAAAGGTGGCATTTTGTACCAGTGGGGAAACATTATCTCCTAAGTATAAATCACAGTGGGAGCGTTTGCTGTCTATCTGAAAAAGACCAAATTCATTCAGACTTCAGACTTTACATCAGAATGAATTCCCCATCTTTCATCGTTGAAATGTTTTAAAAAAACAAAAAGGAAACCATAACGCACCACAGCAAAACTCTACCATAAAGCAAGTGAGATATCAAAATTCAGTTGTTTGAAATGTGGAATTGTATTACTGTGAAGTTAATGAAAAGATCAAAATAGCAACGAGCCTGTGTAACCAGCAGGCTGAAAGCTTCTGTGAGAACCAGCTCGCTGTCCATACGCAGTCCTGGCTGCAGTTTGTCATTCTCTCATGGCAGTTGTTCTTCTCCGCTTCGATATCAATGGGGAAGATTCTTGGTCTCTGGTTGGCAGGAGAACTCTGGAGAATAGTGGGCATTCATTTTGTCAGCTCCTTCTGGGGACATTAGGAGCAGAGCATATTCCATAGACAGGGTTATTTGGGATTCTATTTCCAGCTTTGCCATCCACTTTGTGCCCCAGCCCACATCTAACTGGGAAGAAGAAATCTAGTCCACCTTTATTTGAAAATGGAGGCTATGTGAAGACGGGAACCCACTGCTAATCACATTATAGCCCAGATAAGATGTTCATATGAATTATGTGGAACTCTACTATAGAAGATTTCTTAGGGGAGTTTCAAAATAGTCTTGGAGCTGGGAAGGTCTTTCTAAGTGTTACATAATACCAAGAAGATACTAAAAGTTACATTGATAAGTTTGAGTAAAGTAGAACCCATTATATACAAAGTCTAGAGACAATAACAGATTAGAGAAAAATATTTAGAACTTAAACAGAATGTTAGTTTTCTTAATATATAAAAAGTATCTAAAAGAATTTAAAAGCCAACAGCATCCTCACCGACATATATTCAAAGGATAGAAACACATGGTTTACAGAAGACCAAAAAAAGTACATATGTGTGTGTGTGTGTGTGTGGAGACTCAACTCATTTATTATATGTGAAATGAAAATTAAAATGGCACCAAGATCTCATGTTTTACTTACCAAATTTCACATATATATTTCATATATACTCTATGAGCATAAGTACGGGGAAACATTAGCTCTTATACTTTTTTATCCATTGCTACTAAGAATGTAAATTGACAGGGCTTCTATTTGACAAGATCTATAAGAATTACAAATGTGCATATTCATTGATCTTACGATTCCACTTTTAGGGCTCTATTCTACAATATACTTGTGTAAATGATTTATATACAAATTTATTCCCTTGAAGTATTTTCTGTAATTATAAAGGATTGAAACGAGCTAAATATCTACTAACAGGGACCTGGTTAAATAAATGATTGTACATCCGTACAATGAATTACATGCAGCTGTGAAAGAAGATGGGTAATCTATATACTGATAGTGTGAATAATATACATGCCATTTCCATAAAAAAGAAAATATGCATGCATATTTTATATTTATTTCATATAATATTTATCCATATACATATTTCATAAATACATTTTATAGTTATACTTAGCGTATTCCAGAAAAGATACACAAGAACCTGGGAGCCTTTGTGTCATCAGGGTAGTGAATGGATTGTTGAGGGTCAGGTGGGGTAAGTCTTTTTACTTACATCTTTGTGTGTTTTTTTTTTAATTGAATATATTTGACATATAATATTGTGTAAAATTAAGGTGTACAACATGTTAATTTGATACCTTTGTACATTGTAATATGGTTGCCATTGTAGTAATATTGAGCAGCTCTATCACATTACGTAATTATCCTTCTTTTTAGTGGTTGGAATAATTAAGTTGTAGTCTTTTAGCAAGTATGATGATTATAGCACAATATTGCTGTCTATATTCACTATATTGTGCTTTAGATCTCTATGGTTTATTTACTACTTGTTCCAAGTTTGTACCCATAAACAATAACCATCTTATCCTCCCACCCTCTATGTGTTTATATTTTGAATTTTGACAATATGAACTTCAAAAAATTAAAATATAAAAAAGCTTCTACTACTAGCACAGTTTATAAACTACTCATTCTAATTTAGCTTCTTTGTTTTAAAGAAGAAGGAAATCAGACCCAGAACAGTGGTAACAGAAGGTTACCTCGCTTTCTGCAGACAGGACCAGAGCTAGATCCTAGATTTTCTGCCTCCCAGTTCAGGGCAAAGTCTATAACACCAGAAAAAAAAAAAAATTACATAATTGAATATTATGAAGAAATCAATAAGGAAGCAAAACCAAAATCGACAGTATATTTTAATTCAGATTATACTCTATGGTCTGATATAAAATATTCTGAAAATGTTGCCATCTCTCATCCATGAAAATGTTATTTATTTCTCTACCTTACGGCATGGTCTTGAGCAGCTTTCTTTAACAGTGATGACAGAAATTAAACCTTCTTTGCTTGTTACAGGTTCTCCTTTGGGATCAAGACCTTATATTTGTGAGATAACTGCCTAAGGTCAGAAAAGATTATCTGCATCTGTGGAATAGAGATTTCCTCTGTGCCACGCTGAGTGACACTATTTCCTTTAAGACTTGGATCCAAGCTCTCTTCTTCAAACATATTAGCTTTCCTTGCCTTTCCTCAATTATTTCTTCTCTGAATATGCCTTAGTTCTATGTCACTTCAACTCCCAAAACTATGATTTATGCAATGTGTCCTTCCTTTCAGTGAAATTGTACAAACATTTAATGAAGCGCCAACCATGTTCCAGGCACCATGTTAAGACTTGGGATAAACAGATCTATAATACAACCTTCTGCCTTTAAGAAACTCAATTTAATCAGGGATGTAGATTCACCCATTTAAAAATTATTTATTGAGGGCTTACTATGTGCCAGGCACCGTTTGGGCTGTCAGAGATACAGCAATGAAAAAAACATACAGAAATCCTGACTACTGAAAATTAGAGAAAATTGATAATGGGTTGGATATTAGCCAATATGAGGAGATTATTATTAATTTTGTAGATGTGATAATTATTGTGGTTATATAAAAGGCCTTATTCTTAAGATAAGCATGCTGCCATATTTAGAAGAGAAGTATCAAATATGTACAACTTACAGACAAATGATGAAGTAATTTTGTTTCTGCTGTTGTTTTTTACCTAGGGTATGCAGCCGTCTTCCACAGTAGAAACATATTCAAATCGACACTTTTCAAATCTTTCATGGGTTGTCCTTTGTGATCAAGTGGTGTAATTTGTTAGATAATCGCCTATAACTTTAATATATTATCTGTATTTATTTTATAAAATTTTGAAGTGTATATCTACATGTATTTCTAGATAGATAAAGCAATTGGTGGAAGATGTTAACGATCATTGACTCCAGGTGGTGAGTAGAAAAGGATTCACTGTACAATTCTTTAAGTGTTTTTGTATGTTTGACATTTTTCGTTTAATAAAGGCTTGGAAAAATCTCTGTGCACTGGAGCATACATTCTAGTGTGTGGGGGAAATAGACACAAATACACAAATAAGTAAGATGCATAATATGTCAGATGATGATAAATACTATAAGGAATCATAAAATGGGGAGGTGGATGAGAGATGTAGTTTTAACATAAATAATTTATAAATATATGTACTTAACTAATATTTACGTTGCCATGAGCACAATGACTAAGAAGTGATTTCTTCTCTGTGAGGTGTGCAGGAAAGACCTGGAGAACAGATTATGGAGCAGGATCTTAAAGGATAAATGGAAAGTTGCCAAAAGGACGAGTGCGTGGGCTAAACCCCAAGAGAATATTTCAGGACAGATTAACAATGAGAATGAGTGATCCCCAAGCTCTACTAAAAAGATTTTAGTTCTGTAAATTGAGTCTTTATAAAGCTCCACAGGTAATTCTCATGTGCTCCAAAAGTTGAGATTCTGTAGAGTGGAAACAGATATAGCTTGTGGGAAAAGACAAAATAAGGAAAGCGGTTGGAAATATAGGCTGTTGCTAGGCACGAAAGGGATTTTACAACAAGATAAAGATTTTGAAATTTATTCTGTAAGCACATGGGAGCCGTAAGAGGCTTTTCACTATGGGAGTTACACAAGCGATCCTATCTGAATTTTGGAAGAATAACTGAGATAATGTGTTTAGTAGGTGAGAGAGGAGAGGTGCTAGAGAGGGGGAGACCAGTTAGCCTACTCCAGTGATTCAAACGAAAGTTGATGAAATCTGCTCCAGGTCCCTGGAACTTGCAATAGAGAGATACTCGGAGGAAGACTAGATAGATCTTTGTGATGTGATGTGAGTGAGAAGAAGGATTCTAAATTTCTTGATTTTGTGAGCCACTAACAGACTTAGGGATATAGAAGAAACAAGTTGGAGGGGATAGAGAATATACATCAACTTGCAGTTTTTGAAGAGCTTGTGGGAGTTAGACATGGGTTTATCTGGAACGCAAAAACAAAACAAGACAAAAAAATCCAACCACCCTAAAGCTGGAGCAAGGTTTGGGGCAAGAAATAGAGATTGGACACATTACCTTATGTGTCGTATGTTGGAGCCCTGGGTCCTGGTTTTGGTGGGGAAAGCTACCGATGCCCATAGAAGATGCTGAGCAAAGGAGAAGAAAATGTGAGTAGCGTTTAAAAAATGGTGAGAGGAGGAAGGGGCAATGAAAGTCACTCATTCTTTTATGCCAAAGGGTTAGAAACTCCTCAAAGACAGAACAATGTCTTTTACTGCTTTTGTACCCAATTTCCAAGGTATTCGTGTAGCACATACAACAATTATTTAATAATCCCTCATTGAGTTGATGATCTAATGATATGCATAAGAGTCAAGCTTTTGCCTATTAGCAATATTTTCAAAGTCTAGATGAAGGAGTTAGAACATAGAATCAAGTACAATATTATTATTAATGAATCAAAGAAAACAAGGAATATGAAAAACTAATCTCCCTGAGTTGCTTTTTTCAGTGTTAGAACAAACTAAAATCTAGTTAATTAAAAGAAAGAGTGCTCAGATATAAACTACTCATAGGCATTTTCCGAGTGGTTTAAAGATTATATGTTAACATTTCTGCAGATAGTTTACTCTTTTTTGGCTTAACGTTTTGGATTCTTTTTTCTCACCTTAGAATGTTAGTCCTAATAATTTAAAGACATTTAAAAAACATTTGGCTTCTGTGTATGATATGATTTATATAGTTCTTGCCAACTATTAATGACATTTCATAAGTCATACCGTAAACCATTTAGTACCTTTCTAGGAAAAAGAGAGTCTTCTGACTGCAGTGACACTTGTAGCTACTTATGGCTTATTTTGTCAGCCAGGCTAGTTGAGTGAAAGGCTACACGAACTGTAAATTGTGTGATCCTTGCCTCATCAGATCATATAGTAAACCAGAAGGAACAAAAGACCAAAATTCTGCATGGATTGCTAATTAAGTGAAAAGAGGAAAACTTCAATTAATCATAGAAAGATTAGCAATGGTTACTCATGGCAGCTGGATGACCTTCAAATCAATACGACCACGCAGATGTGTTGAAAGAGATGGGAGAATAAAAGCATGATATTTATTGGAGCCGGTGGCATCTTACGGGATTCAGGCTCATAATTTCCTAAGTGACTCAGCAGCGCTGCACAATAGATGCCTTGAAAAACCCAGTTCCTTAAGACAACCCTGAAGTACTAAATGGTGTTTTGCTGACCTATGCTACCAAAATCTTTCTCCAGTTTGCTAAAATACACTCCTGAATGGTGTGTTTACCTGTTGGATTGACTATTTCATTAAAAATTTCTTAAGAGCCCTCACCCCACACATCAATCTATTTAATATTCTTCCATAAATCTAAATAACTGCATCAGTCAGAGCCATTAACCCTTCAGTATTTCCTGTGTTAAAATTTTGAGCTTCTTCAAAAGATTTTTTAGTCATGTGCTAAAATCAAATTTCAGCTAAATAATTAGCCTTCATTCAGGAAGAGGCTGAAAATATGGGGAACTTAAAAACAAAGGGGAAAAAATGAGAGCAAAGCCATTGAAATCCCCAAAGGCAAAAATTTCAATTCAGAAAAGCAGATTTCTTTTCAATTTACAGCACAAAAACTACCTAGAAAAAATAAACATCGTGACTTACACAAGTTTCCATCACTAAAAGTTGTTCTTTACTAAAAAACATGAAACCACAAATATGTGTAAGAAGTGATAGAGGACAGGGTTCTGGTATTTATTTGTTTGATCAGGCTCGTTGGTTTTTGTACACTGCAACATAAATAATTTTATCAGGAACTAGAAAAAAGGTAGTTAGTGACTTTATGTTCACAGTTGGAAGGTTAATGTTTCTCACTTATAAGAGTTTAGCACTAGGTAAATCTTTGATATAGCCAATAATGAATAATTTACAGTAAAAAGTATAAATCACATTCTGTAGTGGGTTTAGCTTTCCCGGAAAATAAGCAATACTAACTAGGCCTGTGTCTGTTTACTCGTTTATCTTAGCTATGTTAATAAAATTTAGGATGTTGTCACTAGAAGCAAGTGTTCAGTTTGCTAACACTCCTTGAGGAAATATACTATGTTTAGACAGACTTTTAAAACAATCAGCATCCGGACCAAACATCTGATAAACTGTAAAGCAGGAATACGTACTTTAATTTTAGATAGAGTAATGATGACTTATTTCCTCTCATTGCAGCTCTGTGGCTTGTTTTTTTTAGGACCAGTGTTGAGTGGAAAGGAGTTGCAACTGGGCTTGGTATAGACTGGGGAAAGATGTTCTGGAGCATTTCTAGTCAGTCACAACCTCACTGAGTCTCCAGGCTTAGGAAGCCCAAACTCTTTTCTAATTAGGTTGTAATTTACTGAAGGAGTTAATTTCTTTTTTGTACGTCCAAAGTATGCTCTGGGAATAACTGATCTTTACATTTAAGTCAGTGTAGGGAATAGTAAAGTAGTGTTTGAAGATATTTCTGAAAACTGTATTAGAGAAATATTTCCAAAGACATTTATATGCTTCTATTCTTCTTTTCTCTTGTTCTCTCCCTAAATAAACACAGAGGTTTCTACTACTTGGCTTGAAGAAAATGAAGAACAATCAAATTATATAATTGCCTCTCCTTTTTTTTTTTTTTTTTTGTGCCTTCTCTTCAAATCTCCACCAAAGTCTCTTAAATGGCATAAATGTTAATTTATGACAGAACAGCTATTGTGTTAGTATAGTGTTTGTCCATATCTAACAACCAAATGATTGTGTGAAAATTCTAGCCTCTATTGTTCCTTTATTAGGAAAGTCTTTGAAAACCAAAGAGATTTTTTTGAACTTCAAAAAGGTGTGATGGCCAATTGTTTGAAGTCCTGTGAGAAAATTCTCCCACTTATACACAGAACAGTGTTGTGATGTTAGAAACTCAATTGCTTTCCAGACAGGATGTTAGTACATGCACATGTGTCTGCTGCTGTGATGTGGGAAGTACAATCCCTCCAGGTTTATAAAGATATCAGTTGTAAACAGGACGCTTAGTAACAGCTACAGACATAGTGCCTCTCTCCTTGGAGTGAGAAACGATTTGAAGGTATTAATGGCAACATTCTGCTGGAGTAAATATAAAAAAACCATTCAAATCCTTTTCCAAATGTCTTTTATATATTCTATATACATCCCAAACTCAAAATCCCATTTTAGGCAATAGACATTAATAAAATTCTAAAACATCCATCAAATATTCTAAGCACAGCACACATTTAAGTTCTTTTTTTAAAAGAAGCACTTCATTTTATGATGATAAATAAAAACTAAAACAAAAATAGTGATTTGATGTGGTTATTTCTGAGTTCTCCTGAGAGTAAAGGTAATAAGAGTTGGTAATTCTATGTGGTATACAGAAATGATTTTTTGATTGATTTAAAGGCAAAGTTTTTCTGTACATTAATTTTGCAGGTTTAAGCTATATTATTATGGCAAGATATAAATGTTTACTATTTAGTAGGGTTTTTATTGCTGTAACCATTGAGCCTGTGACTGTTGACCTTTCTATCACTTTTAGAAAGATATACGCAAAGGAACACATTAACCATTGCCTTTGGTTGGGACTGGCTGCCCAGGAATGCCAAGGGAAGATGTTTTAGGCAGTAACCGTATTTTTTGAGTTGTCTCTATGAGATCCTTATTAATAATCAATAATCAATTATCGTAACTCTCAATTCTTTTAAAGGCAAATCAATGTGATGAATCAAAGGAAGGTAGTAAGGAATCCAAATTTCTAAAGAAATGCTCTTTCATATCCAGTTCCTCAAATCACCATTACTATTTGTAGGCTTCCTCTTTCCCTTCTCTGCATTTCACCACAGCAAATTTCCCACAGCCCTGCCACATCTCTTTACCTCCTTGCAGTGAAACTGAAATGGAAAAGAACCCAGAAGTCCGCTCCAGCCCAATCTTACACACTTCTCCATTCATATTTTTATTGATTCCCCATCTGTCCTCTTGATCCATCTTCTTTCTGCTTTCAGTTCTTGCTCCATGTATTAGCTTCTCTTTCAAATGCATCTTCAACGTATATTCAACATTCTCTGCTCTTAAAAGAAAAATACAAGTAAGAGCCACTTTGACTGTGTGTACTTCATTTACCTGACTCCTTTAGTGGCCAAGCTTCTCAAGTCACACTCATTGTTTCTGCTTCCTTACCGCCTGTTCACCATCCAGTGCACTGAAATCTGGCTTCAGTCCTTACATCTGCCTTTTACTTCAATTCAGCTCCTACTGAGATCATCAGTCAAGTATTAATAGCTAAGATTAGCTTTTTTTTTTTTCAGTCTGGGTATTACTAGACTTTTTTGAAGCATTTGAAATTGCTCATCACCCTTTCCTTGAAACTTTTAAGTCCTTTGGTTTTGGTGACAACTTACTTTTGGCTCTCCCGCTCTCCCTCCTTTGATTAAACTTTTCAATCTTTTCATGGATTCTCCTTTCTCCAGCATTTCTAAATACTAGCCATCCTCAGGTTTCTGTCTTATGGTCTACTCATTCTTCATATTCTTCCTGAATGATCTCAACTACCAACTATATGTGGACAACCCTTGTTGTGAGCTGACATAAACACAACTCTTGGGTTCTGTATAGTAGATAATGGTAGCCACAGAAGAAATGTTGGAGGAGGTGGGAGTTAGCCACACCACAGTATCACTACCACGGAATAATGAGAGCAAGTCTCAGACCAAATTTTGCTACACATAGAAAACATTTATTATCTCAATATTTATTAGAAAGTAATCACAAAAGAAACAACATGTGCAATGAGTTCTGCAGGTCTGGGGGAATCCCCAGATTCCAGAGATAGTGATTCTGTCACCCCTATCATCAACATCTGATGATGAGAGTCCCCCCAAGTTTGCAGCTGACACTCACCTATGCATCACTAAGAGTGCAGGCTATTGACTTTGCTGGCTTCTTATTCTTTGTCCGTGCACTAGTGGGGAAGGGTATGGAGTATTTCTAAAATATTTAATCCTATCCACGTCTTGATAATACCTTTACTTTCACTAAAAGCACATTTCATTGAAATAATTTAAAAAGCACTCATTTCACCAATAAAAATTCATTTCTGACAATTATGATGCTAATTAGCAAAATATTGGTTTTGACAGAGATCCAGATGACAGAAGGGCTTGTGCTTGTAGGAGAATGGGGTTCTTTTTTTTTTCTTCAGCATTTTAGAGGCACAATTGACAAATAAATTTGCGTATATTTAATACGTACAAGATGATTTGATATACATATACCTTGTGAAGTGATTATCACAATCAAGTTAATTGACATGCCCATCATCTTACATAATTATTATTTTGTGTGTATGTGCATAATATGTGAGAACATTGAAGATCTGTTATCTTAGCAAATTGCAGGTATACAATACAGTATTATTAACTATAGTCAGTATGCTGTACATTGGATCCCCAGAACCTATTCGTCTTATAACAGAAAGTTTGTACCCTTTAACCAACATCTCCTCATTTCCCCCACTCCCCAGCCCCTGACAACCACTATTCTACTCTCTGTTTCTGAGTTCAACTTTTCTAGATTCCACATATAAGTGAGATCATACAGTGTTTGTCTTTCTCTGTCTGGATTATTTCACTAAATATAATGGGGTTCTTGATTAGAGGGTCAACTTCTCCTCTTGGACTGTGCATACTTGATTAGAGATGAACAGAAGCCTATATAAAATATTGCACTATGTATGTGGAAGTGTTTTAAAGTTGTTTATAAACATCATAGCAACTCCAGTCTCAGGTCTTTATCTGTATCTCAGAACTTTCACCCCAATTTCAGGCTCATATGCAAATGATTCCATCAAAAACTCAACTTGACAAAATTGAACTCATATTTACTTCTTCCACAATCCCCAAGTGATCCTCTTTGATATTTCCCACTCCTTTGTATTAGTATATGATCAGTTACCCTCTTTCCCAGACTCTTACACACATGTAATCACTCAACAAATCTTTTCAGTGTTGGAGCCAAATTCTTCAAATCCCAAGTCTATCATTTACTAGCTATGCGACCTAGGGAAAGTTTCTTAACCCCTCTGAATCTCAATTCCCTCATCTTTAAGAAGAATGATAACATCTGCTTCCCAGGTTTAGTGTGAGGGCGAAATGAGACACAGTAAGTAAAGTGCTTAGCATAAGACTTGGAACATGGTAAAGACGCAATACATGTTAATTTCCTTCCTTCACCCTTTCTCCCACACCGTCTAACCCTTTGGTGACTGAATCTGTGCCTTTAAACTAATTCCTAATTAATTCCTTCAATAAATATTCATTTAGACTCTCATATGCTTAAAAGGGGACCTTATAAGTGTTGGGAACACAATTGGGACAAGATAGACATTATCTTTGTTCTAATGGAGGGATATTTTAATGGAGAAAACTGGTGTGAAAAGGCAAATGAACGAATAATTATTACAAGGTAAATTGTGATAAGGATTCTGAAGGAAATCCACAGGATGCTGAAACAGAGAACAGCAGCTGGGGGTGAGGGCGCTAGTCTACGCCGGAGCTACTCAAACTGTGATCTGTGGACTAGTCCGGTCTACAAAGTACTTATTCCCTGTCTGCAACAAGAAAAGTACATTGAGAGTGTTGAGAGAATTTTATAGCAATTTGACATGGCTGCAATGGCCAAGTGTGTGATTAGTGATTGGTGAAACAGGGTAGAGAACACCACACTCATGTCACATGTCCTGTGAGCTGTGTAGAACTCCTATGTACAACAGGACCATGTTATAACTTGTCATATTTTAAGGTGAGTTTGTCAGCTGTATCTCAAACATGTATAAGATCTAGAACCCAATTCTTTTATTTAAAGATAATTTAAATTTAACTATACTTTACAGGGTAAATTACTGGAACTGGTTACTGATGAAGGAATAATTATGAATTTTAAAAATATAACGTTCCTTGCTTCATTTTGGATCAGTTAAAATGAATGTTTTTGCATGTGCTGAATGGCTTTTCTCATTCCCATGGGCATCTCTCTGAGATGTTGTTGTCTCTACTATGAATGCAATTAAAACAAAACATAGAAGCAGTTTAAATATATGTGCTATCCTCTCCAAGTAGAGTAGTCATCAACCCAACCTAGATTGGATAAATTAATAAGCAAAAAACAAGCTCACTTGCCACATTAAAAACTTTAGGTACTGATACACACACTGTTTGTTTAAAGTGTAGGAATAGGCTTTTATTATTGGGAGTAACTATTTCACTAGTAATTATTGTTTAGTCACAGTTATGAATCAAAAAAATGTTATGAGTATAATAGCAGTTGTCTACATTTATAGCCTATATTTATTCTCTATATTTATATGCACACTTTTAATGAACAACATTACAGTTTTTATTTTGTTTTGTTACTTTTCCGCTTTAGGTTTGTTCTTATTACATTCACTAAAATGTAATCTTATGTTTGATGGATTTCATAATAAACTATTGGAACTTCATTTTGAGAACATTTATTTTCTATTTCATTTTTCTACTAATTTATTTTTATTGCATTTTACAAAACTGTTAGTCCAAGACAGATTGGGGAAAAAAAGAAATCTAGTTCTCGCCACTGGAGAAGCATTTCTGTAGATGGGTGGTCGGGAGAAGCTCTCCAGGGGAGAGACAATAAAAGCATGAGAACTGTGGCCTCCTACTTCCCAAATATCTCCAAAATTCATGCCTTTCTTTACTGATCCTCATGGTTACTACCTTGGTTCAGACTCTTACCACCCCTAACACAGACATCAGCAAAAATATATGGTGCCAGCAGAAATTCTTCCTTCATTTTCTCTTCCTCTTCACACCTTTTGTTGCTTTTCTATCTCTACCCTGAAAAAAACCAGAGAGACCTATCTCTCTCTAAAATTCTGGAATGGTTATTGTTTGTACCACCTTCTGGATATTTCTTACATGCTGCCTTAATTGGTTGAGTTTTTATGTGTGTATGTGTTTAAATGCACACATATTTATTTGTGGGTGTGTCTGTGTGTATGTATGGAGAAAGATAGAGACAGAGATAAAGAAAGACAGAGAGAGAGACAGACTATATATTACAGTCTCCTAAACTAAATTGTAAACTCTGTACAGGGATGGATTACATATTATGCTCTGCATCCAACGGAGCTAGTATATTGCCTGGCACATAGTAGGTACTTAACGATTGTTTGTTGTTGATGGAAGTGCTGGGATAAGTCTAACAATGCATTTCTTTTCTACCGATTCTGTTTTTTGGTTTCATTGTCTACACATCGAAGTCAGTATGACTTTATTAAAGCCCACATTTTTGTTGGGGAGGAAGCTTTGGGATCCTCAGTTATTGACTCAGCTAACCACAGGATGTCTGTGCAGAGAACAGACCACAGAGGTCTGGTGACGAGCTTGTGTGGACATGGATACCCTGGGACTCTCCAGATCTTCCCGTTGCCCCATGTGACCTTTCACCAGCTCGTTGCTGACTTGATCAGCAGTGAACTAGAGTCTTCACTTTCACTAATTTCTGAGCCCTTGAAAGAAATGCAATAGACACTTCTCCCCCCAAACCCTCATATTTAACAATTGCAATTTCATAAAGAGAGACACTCAATTTAAAAATGTAAATGACAATGAGAAAAAATGTACACTAAATATTGTGGTGTGAATCTCGCCTCTGAACTCAAGACCAGGTGAAACCTCTGTTTTCCAAAATCAGAGTTCACAATCGTTTCAGTAATGTAACTGTTTCAGAGAAGGCCATCTGAATGCACATTCACTACTTTTTCTGGAACTTAACAACGACATATTTTTCTCTCCTGGAAAGTATCTTATGCTTGAAAGAAAACTGTTGAGTTTCTTTCTTACAAAGTGAAACAACTATGCTCAAAAATAAAGGATCAAACAATTCGTAAATCAGAAATAATACTAGATTTAGGAATGAAGATCCAAACTTCAATGATATAGTGTTTAAAAAAACAATATTAAAGTGATTTGGAAATAGCCTAATATTTTTTGGTGATATGAGGTTCTAGAAGGAGTGCATAGCCATTGGTTTGGGGTTCGTTAAATTTCAGAAACAATTTCTCCCTGGGCTGATTTTCCACACTTTCACATTCCTAAGATCACTCCTTTGTATGTTGAGTTCATGAGGGCAAAGCTGTTTGCAAGAAAACTCTCAGGCAGAGACACAGAAGAACGAGATAGGCATTGGGCTGCAAATGCTTTTCAGCCAATAAAACCCAAACCAGGTTCCCTTAATTTTTCAAACCTTGTGTTTTTTAAGAAAATTTAACCCACATGTGTCTTATTCATTTACAATGAAATCATGGAATTTTTAAAAAGAGCTGTTTAATGTCAAAAAAAGTCATTTTGATATTTTAGCTTCCTCCAGTCAAAACCAGAGCTGCATTTCTCCATCAGAAATTGATTTGAGGATCAAAGACTGAAATTCAATTTGAAACTCTAAACCTTTTCTTCTGAGGTGAATGTTTAAAATCCATCAAGAGAGTTGTCCCTTTGGAGAACTCATAACCTGGGGGCAGATTTTGCTCATTTAAGACTGTTTCACAATAGAATTTGGGACAACTTTTCTGGGGGGACATTTGAAATGTCAAAAATCTTTTTTTTCAAAAGGCAATAAGGCAAAGGCAAAACCGGTAAGTGTTGTTATAATGCTTGTCCATTCCGAGAGATAGGATCAGTTCACCAAATATTGATTAAGCAGTTTAACATCAAATTAGAGTTCTCCAGAGAAACAGAACCAATAGGATGTGCATGTTTATATATAAAGAGATTTATTATAAAGAATTGACTCACACAATTAGGGAGGCTGAGAAGTCCCAAGATGTGCAGTCCACAAGTTGGAGACCCAGGAAAACTGGTTTGTAGTTCTAGTTCAAGTCTGAAGGTCTGAGAACCATGAGAGCTGATGGCATAAGTTCCAAGCTGAAAGTCGGCAGGCTGGAGATCCAAGAAGAGCTGCTGTTTCAGTCCGAGTCTGAAGGCTGAGAAAGACCATGGTCCCAACTCAAACAAGTCAGGTAGGACGCATTCCCTCTTACTCAGCCTTTTCATTGTAGTCACGTCTTCACCTCACTAGATGAGGCCTACCTCCATTCGGGAGGGCAATCTGCTTTACTCAGTCTATGGATTCAAACGTCCATGTCATCCAGAAACAGTCTCCCAGACACACACAGGATAATGTTTGGCTAAAAGTCTGGGCATCCTGTGGTCCAGTTAAGTTGACACATAAAATTCACCACCACAAATATGTTCTAGCTTAGCATTAGTCACTGGAAATTCCATGCTAACAATGTGTGCCCTGTTCTTGAAAAGCTCATAGACTACAGAAGGCGGCCAAGCCTTAAACAGAAAATTTCAATGCAAGGTGATAAACGCAGTAAGGCAAGGTGCAGAGAAAGGGCAAGAGTAAGCGTGATTAACTCATCGGACTGTGAGAAGAGGGGTTAGGTGCCAGGTGGAAAAAGATTGAAAAATAAAAATTTGTTTTTTCCCTTTACATGACTGCTGTGTGAATCAAATAACTCAATAATGATAGTTTTTATTTATTAAGCCACTACTCTGTGCTTGATAGAGTGCTAGGCAATTCATCTTGAAACCTCACAACCTGGGAAGGAAGTTATTGCTAGCATCATTTTATCACTGAACAAAATGAAATCAGGAAGGTTCAGGGGCTTTTCCTAGTTTTCCTAGTAGGATTCAAATGCAGCGTCACTTGGTTGATTGGAAAGTCCATGTTCTTTTCACTATTCTGCACAACATTTCATTCAAGAGTGTTTTCTATAAGATTTATAAGTTTACCCTCATTTCAAGACAGTAAAATATCATTGTGATTCTGTTTTTCCATTTCAATTGAATTTGAAAGATCTCATGTCAATAAAAAGTTCTGAACTCTGAATGTATAAGAGACAATCTAATCACCTATCAGCTCTGTTGGGGAAGAAAGTGATTGCTACTCTATTGTTCTCATAGGTATCATGATGGATTTCTTTTTATTCATTTAATTATTTTTTTGAGGTCATATTAGCTTATAACATTGTGTAAATTTCAGGTGTACATCAGTATATTTCACTTTCTGTATAGACTGCATCATGTTCACCACCAGTAGTGTAGGTTCCATCCATCACCATACATATGTGCCACTTTACCCCTTTTTCTCTCCCCCAACTCCTTCCCCTCCGGTAACCACTTATCTGTTCTCCTTATCGATATGTTTCTTTGTTTATCTTCCACACATGAGTGAAATCATATGGTATTTGTCTTTGTCTGACTTATTTCACTTAGCATAATATCCTCAATGTCCATCAATATTGTCACAAATGGCATGATTTTGTCTTTTTCATGGCTGAGTAGTGTTCCATTGTATATGTACACCACGTCTTCTTTACCAATTCTTCCAGTGATGGGCACTTGGGTTGCTTCTATGTCGTGGTTATTGGGAATAATGCTGTGATGAACATAGGGGTACATAAATCTTTTTGAATTACTGATTTCATGCTCTTTGGATAAATATCTAATAGAGTAATAGCTGGATCATATGGTTTTCTATTTTTAACTTTTTGGGAAATCTCTATAGTGTTTTCCATAGTGGCTGTACCAGTTTGCATTCCCAACAGCAGTATATGAGAATTCTCTTTTCTTCACACCCTCTCCAACACTTGTTATTTCTTGTTAATTATAGCCATTCTGATGGGTATGAGGTGGTATCTCATTGTAGTTTTGATTTGTATTTCCCTAATAATTAGTGATGTTGAACATCTTTTCATGTGCTTGTTGTTCATCTGTATATCCTCTTTGGAAAAATATCTGTTTATATCCTCTGCCTATTTTTTGATCGAGTTGTTCATTTTTTTGTTGTTGACCTTTATGAGTTCTTCATATATTTTGTAAATTAACCCCTTGTTGGATATATGATTTGCAAATATTTTCTCCCAATTGGTGTATTGTGTTTTCATTTTGTTGATGGTTTCTTTTGCCATACAGAAGCTTTTTAATCTGATGTAGTCTCATTTGTTTATTTTTTCTTTTGCTTCTTTTGCCTGAGTAGACATGGTATTTGAAAAAATACTGCCACGACCGATGTCAAAGAGTGTACTGTCTATATTTTCTTCCAGAAGTTTTATGGTTTCAGGTCTTACCTTCAGGTCTTTATAATCCATTTTGACTTAATTTTTGTGTATGGTGTGAGATAATGTCCTACTTTCATTCTTTTGCATGTTGCTGTCCAGTTTTATCAACATCATTTATTGAAGAGAGTTTTCTTTCTCTGTTGTATGCTCTTGGCTTATTTGTCAAAGTTTAGCTGTCCATAGATGTGTGGTTTTATTTCTGAGCTCTCAATTCTGTTCCATTGATCTTATTCAACACAGTAGTAGAAGTTTTAGCCGGAGAAATTAGGTAAGAAACAGAAATAAAATGATCCAAATTTGAAAGGAAAAAGTAAGACTATCACCATTTTTGAATGACATGATTCTATATATAGAAAACCCTAAAGAATCCACCAAAAAACTACTAGAAATAATCAACAAATACATTAAAGTTGCAGGGTACAAAAACAATATACAAAAATCAGTTGCATTTCTATTTACTAATAACAAACTAGCAGAAAGAGAAGTCAAGAATACAATCTCACTTACAATCACTACAAAAAGAATAAAATACCTAGGAGTAAATTTAACCAAGGAGGTGAAAGACCTATGCTCTGAAAACTATGAGATGTTATTGAAAGAAATCGAAGAAGACATAAGGAAATGGAAAGGTATTGGATTGGAAGAGTGCAGGGGACTGGAATTGGCCACCCCAAGATATGTCTCTTTGGCACGAGGATTATTTTGGGCTGGTTACTTTTAAAAACTGCAGACATGACAAACTCTGAAAAGCAGAAGTTACCCTTTATAAGAGACATTTAAATTTGTAAGGGAAATCTCCATCTGTAAAGGTGTCTCCCTCTCTGTACCAGCAAGAAAGGGGGATGACCTTATCTCTAGAAACTCTTGTCCACACGGAAGGCAAGGACTTAAATCTGCATAAAAATCTTACTCTTGTTTACTGTGCTTTTCTGGTAATCTTCCATAACTGACTCCCCCCACCCCCAACATCCTCCTTTGTCTTTAGCTGAGGGTGGTATTTAAGGTGAGAGCTTCTGCTGTTTTGGCGAGTTGCTCAGTTTGCCTGAGCCTCTCCCGTGTATACATATTATAAAGCTTTGTTTAATTTTCTCTTGTCATTCTGTCTCATGTGAATTTAATTTGTTGTCTGACCAGAAGGACACAAAGCAGGTAGAGAAAATGTCTTCCTTCCCTGCAAGAGTAAACATAGTTAAAATGCCCATATTACCTAAAGCAATGTACAGATTCAGTGCAATCCCAATCAAAATCCCAATGACATTCTTTATGGTAAAAGAACAAAGAATCCTACAAATTTATGTAGAACAACAAAAGATCCCCAATAGCCAAAGCGATCCTGAGAAAAAAGAACAAAGTTGGAGGTTATTACACTCCAAAACATACTGGAAAGCTGTAGTAATCAAAACAGTATGGTACTGGCAGAAAAACAGATTTCTGAACGGTCAGATTAAAGGTAGTGTAAAGAATGGTAATGGATGCAGCAAGATTTCCCACAAGAAAATGCATGTGTAAACATCAACCATTGGTTAGAAGACTGTCTCTTAAATAAAATGACAGAAGTAAGGACTAAAGGAAATTTTTAAAAAGGAGTCAAGTCATACTGAAAGTGAGTGGTGACATCAAACACCAATTCTTGGGGCCAGCCTGGTGGTGCAGCAGTTAAGTTCGCACGTTCTGCTTCGGCAGACCGAGGTTCACTGGTTCGGATCCTGGGTGCAAACATACACACTGCTTATCAAGCCATGCTGTGGCAGGCGTCCTACATATAAAGTAGAGGAAGATGGGCATGTATGTTGGCTCAGGGCCAGCCTTTGTCAGCAAAAAGAGGAGGATTGGCAGCAGATGTTAGCCCAAGGCTAATCTTCCTCAAAAAAACACACAAATTCTTGCTTATAGAAAATCTGATTCCACTTTCATCTTTTTCTACTTTGAACCTTGAGATCTTCCCTATTCAAATCTTTACTGCTGCCTACTGCTCAGTTTTTCTCTCTCTTTGTGTTTCAATCACTACTTACTTCGTCTTGAGGCAGCTTAAGAGAGGCCCTCATGCAGAACAGGGGAGGCAACCTACTCTGGAATTTTATTTTTGTGAAAACAAATGAAACAAAACAAGGGTAACTTTTGTCACATCCTGTCAAATACAATCTAAATTCATATTCACTCATTCATGAATACACATGAATACAAACATATATGCATACAGAAGTCCATTTTATGACAGGAGAACAAAGATAAAAGAGAATCAATATTTAAGGAAAATGAATAGGTGATGCATGAAAATATAGGGTAATGAAGGGGTCAGGAATAGGAGATGAGAACAGTGTGCTGGACTTTGGGGATGGATGCATGAAATCTGGGTACAATATATGTCCAGTCGCTGACTGCTTCGGGGAAGACTTCCAAACCGATGGCCAAAACTTCCAACTAATCTTCTCATGATATAGCTTACAAGCCTTTTCTTTCCTTTTAAATTCTCAGCATGTGAAGCAGTAATACTATTGGCTTCTATTCTGTCACCTAGAGGAGGTTGCTTTGAGATTTCCCGTTGCAGATTGAAAATCATGAGCTTTTGAGTCCTGGCCTCCAATCCCAGTTTTCTCCATTCCTGGACCTCTCTCCACGTGTCAGTTACCTCATTAATTATTGCTGAGGTGAGAATGGGTGGCTAGTAACACCTACCTCATGGGATTTCTGTGAGGAGTAGAGCAGCTTACAATAGACAAAAACTTGGCACATAAAATATACTCAACAAAGGCCAGTGGGGAGTAATTATTCTTTTTCAGGTGGTCAATACCAGGATATGAGAGAACACTATGAAATGACTCAGCAGGCCTTGAATTTGCTTTTTTTATGATAGAAGAAAAGAACAGCACAGAAAGAACCAGGAGCAAGTGCTTCCTTGCTAAGAAGTAACTTATAATGGCCTCAAACACTGTGTCTGCTGTGCTCTGGTCTGTGGAGAATAATCCTTTTTTTTCCTTTTCAAAAATATCCGTTAAATGTTAACAGTGTTCTTGTTTTCTTATGCTCAGACATCAATGGGAAATTCATCTTTAGAAAAACTGGCTCCTTTGTGATACCAAGT